ATGACGAGCAGACTTTCTGAAGGGACCTCATTTGCTCTTGACTTTCCTTTTTATTTTTATGTGGTTTGTAGCCTCGTCACCCCACCAACCAAATTAAAGAGCCCACCAGCACATGGAGTGCATCTAGGAGAAAGGGAGATGCGCTCTCCACATGGGCTGGCTTGCCAGATTGCTCTCTGAGTGAGAAGTTTGGCTTCCAGTTGGTCATTCTTTATGCTGGATCAAAACACAGTCAATATTGGCTTGGTGATGGTGTGCTGCTGTGGAAGAGTGGCCTTTCGAGCAGTGGGAGGGTTGAGAAGGGTTATGAGGTAGATAGGACCACTTGTGCTGAGAGGCTGGAGGATGCTGAGGATTGGGATGATGTTTTCTGGTGGCCCTGACCTGGAAAACTAAGGATTGCCACAGCTCCCTGATTTGGGGACTTAGAGAGATGGGTCCTGGGAGTTTGGGACCTGATGGGCCACGTGTGAAAAGAATACAGCTCAAGTGAAAAGGGGCCCTGCCTCCCCAGTGCAGATGAGGTGCTAAAATTCTCTTTTCCTTGGCAGAGGCACAGTTCAGAGGAAAGCAGGAGTTCCCTACCCCACCTTGGCTGAAAGAACTGTGCCCACAACCCTTTCATTCATGTGTTTCAGAGCCCAAAGCCCCCAGACCACCTGAATATCCAGATGGGCAAGTGATCCCCACCACCAAGTCATGCACTTCTTATCTGCTCTCACTCAGGCACAAGCATTCCCCAGCTGTCCTCTTCCAGCCCAGCACCTTCTGCAAACCCCAGGCAAGGGGAAAACTGAGAAGATATGGGGAAGGAGCTGTGAGAAGGACGTGGGAGATGCACCAGGGACCTTTGCACTTCTCCTGCAGCCTCACCAAGCCTTTCTGATATGTGCTGCGACACCGAAAAAGACTCCTGCAAACCTCCAGGCCAGGTGCCAGCTCCCTTAGCTTCGAAGGCTTGCTCGGGGATGTGAATTTTCTCCGAGGGGAGGAGGCGAGGTAGTTACGGAGACAGCCTGTCATCCATCTTGAAGAAAATACTCCGCTCTCGTTGCACCCACCCGGGCGAGGTGGCAAGCAGGATCAGGCCCAGGGAAAGGCTTTGACTCATTTGTTTACCAGCGCAGGTTTCCTGGAGCTAATTAATGAGCAAAGCTGATAGCCTGCAACAGGTATCAATGGCAGGGGATTTCCTACGTGCAACACCAGCTCTGGGAGAAGGTGAATTGGGGTGTAGGATCACACTGCTCCCCCCTTCTCCCTCCCCAAAAAAGGGGGGGGCAAAGAGAAGCCCCTTGCAGCCACGGGGACCCCCTCCATCACCTTCCTCCCCACCCGGAGCAATGACAAAGCCTGATCCCTGCTGGAAAACCCTCTGAGCAGTGCCCACGCACCCTTCTCCTTGCTTGTAGGGACCAAGGGAGCATCCACAGGCTGGGGTCTGGGGGCTGCATCCCCCCTCCTGGGCACGGGGACGAGCTGCGGCTGTGCGCACAGCCAGGGAGAGCCTGGAGCAGCCTCTGCATTCACGGGGATGCTGCTGGGGAGGAGGGGAGAAGTGGTGCTGGGGAGCAAAAATGCATGCACGGGAGGGGGGTGTGCGTGGAAAAATAGAGATTGGGGTGGGGGGAGAGCAAAAAATGGCACAAGATGTTTGCAGAGGGGATAAACCCCCGGTGGGGTGAGAAGCAGCCCTGATTGCAACCCCCAGCAGCAGGTTGTTAGTTTTTTTTTTATTTTTTATTTTTTATTATTTTATTTTTTGGAGGGGTCGTGGTGCAAAAAAAAAAAAAAGAAGAGGAGGGGGGACACAGCTCCGGAGGTCTCTGCCGAGCATCCCTGCGCACCGGGGGCGGCGGGCGGCGATAGCCGGGCTGCGAGCGCCACCTCCCCGCCGCTCGCCGCAAGCCCCGGCCGCCCCCGGCAGCCCCCCCGCGGTGCTGAGAAACGGCCTGGGTAGAGGAGTAAGGGGCCAATAGGACCCTGAGATCCTTTTGCGATGCCCCCAGCCTTTTCTCAAGCTCTCCCGACCGAGCCGGATAGCCCCGATGCCGTGGGGAGGGTGTAGGGGGCTACTGCAAAGTTTGGGGTGCTGGTAAAAGGGGATTTTTCTAGGGGGGGGGGGCTGAGATGGAGGGTAAGGTTGTGTGTGTGTGTCCGTCCTTCCTTTCCCCCCTAAACCCCTTTTGCATCCCTGCAGGGCTCTCTGAAGGGTGGCAGAGCAGGGGGGTGGGTGGGTGATGCCCCCACTCCAGGCTGCCTTCGGATGTTCCTCAGGGATTGGGGTTCGGGAGCCCCCCCAGTACCATCACACACACACACACACACACGCAAGCTGACATATCCAGTGCACCTCCTCTGCCTCAGTTTCCCCCATCTAAGTGGAATAGGGGTGCAGACCCTTCGTTGGCAGAAACCCACCCCGATTTGCATCCAGTCCTTCCCCAGTGCTGGAAAATTTGGGGTTATGAGGCACAGGGAGTGGGAGGAGAGGGGCTTCAGACCCTACCCCTGCCCTCGGGGCTCTGCAATCCCATGCCAAGTACCACGGGAAGGGCCGGGAGCTCTGCTCCTTCCTTGCTCCAGCCTGGCCTTTCCCTTTGCCCCCCGCAGCAGAAGTTAAGGAGGGATGCTGCACCCCGAACCCTGCCAAAGCAGAACAGAGCCTGGGGGTCCCCTGTCTGCCCCCCCTGGGCTCCCCATTTCCCCTCTCCTGCAGCTGACACCCAGCAGGATGGGATGTCCTGCCCGTCCCTAGCCCCTGCCTAGCTCAGCCCCACGGTCCCCTGGCAGCACAGCTTGGCTGAGCCCTGGTGCAATTCCTCAGCAGCCTCCCAGGGTAAAAAAAAAAAAAAATCCTCCCTGCAACCTCCCTCCTCTTCCTCACCAACATCTTGGGCCCGGTACCGGCTGCGGGCCCCAGGTTAATGAGTCATTAATTAATTCGGGACCCACTTAATATGCACGGGGAGTTGTTTGTTTCCTTTAGCAGCCGGGGCTTTGGACGAGATCCCAGCTCTGCGAAGCCTCCAGCCTCGTCTCCCAGCTGATAATAGATAACACAGATATTTCGGCACTAGCCAAAGCAGAGTCATCATCATTAATACACAGTCCTCCCTGCTACGCGGTGGAGGTCGCCAGTCAACTCCGAGTGCCCGGGGCTCATCCCTCCTGGCTTTCTTTAGGCTTTGCACCGCCAGGAGGGAACAAACCTGGAGAAAATCAACAGGTAAAGGGGCCAGGGATGTACGCCCGGGACCCCCAGCACCCTCACGATTTGCTCTGGCTTTCCAGGCGGCGTGATTTTCGTGATTTTCGCAGGCAGGTTTTGGCATCTGTCAAAGTAGCTTCGCTCTTCCTCGCTCCCCCCCCCCTCTTTCCCTGTCCTGCTCCTCCTCCTCCTCCCTCAGCCATCAGCTGGCCCCGGAGCTCTCCAGCCCCAGCGGTGGAGCAGGATTGAGCCCAAAGCCCTGGGAAGCCCCGGCTTGAAAAGCTGGCGAGGGACGTGAAGGGGGGGGGGAAGATCTTTTTGCCCTCCTCCTCTTTGACCTTGCCTTGATATTTCCCCCCACCGCTACCACCTCCTCGCCGTGCAAATGATTCACAGGGGTTGTTTCCTCTGCCAGGGCAGGAGCGGGGATGCGAGCATGAGTCACGGAGCTGGAGGTACCTGGCAGAGTTGATTTGCAGCCCGTGCCTCCGATTGCTGGGGAGCGATGCTCCCTCTCAGCCAGGAGCAGGACACAACCAGGCTGAAAAGTCCCTTGGAGCCCCCCAGCCTGCCGGCTGCTCCCCCCGTGCCCCGTTTTTCCTTCCAGCCTCGGCAGAGGCATGGCTGAAATACCTCCCTGCGAAAAGTCTGAGGCTGCATCAACAGCCACCCTCCATCAGCGAATGTCAGGCCGTGAAAGGGAAGGGGGCGGTGGGGGAAGAGGGAGAGACAAATTTTGCGATTCATTCCCACACAGGGTGATTCAGAACAAGATGCTTTGTAATTACGCATCCCTGATGGAGACTCCTTCTCTCTCCCACCCCCCCCCTCCCAACAACCCCATCCCCATAGGAAAGGGGAAGCTGTGCCTGGGTGTTGACATCCCCCAGGAGCCCCGGAGCATCCTATGTGTGTGTCTGTGCGATGCTCTCGTCTCTACATAGGCTAAAGGCTAATTTTCTCCTACGGTGTGAAGCAAAGTGCAGATAAACAGCATTAATGTGTGTGTGGGGGGAGAGAAGCTCGTTGCCTCCCCAGCCATCGCCTCCAGCCCTGGGAAGGTTTTGTGAGCGGCAAAGCAAGCAAGGAAGGATCCCCCCCAAAACTCCCCAAGGGAGAAAAGGAAGGCAAGGAGCCGGGATGGGGGCAGGATTCGTGCCCAGGGCAAGCAGCTGCCTTTCCCTTTGAGACTTTTTTTTTTGCCAGCCTTGCGGGCTGAGGAGTCCCGGACCCCAAAGCTGCCCGCGAAGGCACCGCGGTTTCGCAGCACTTCGCAGCTCAGCCCCGGCTCCCTCTGCAGCTCTCCACCGCTATCCCCTGCTCCCCTTCCCCTGCCTGCCTGCCTCCTTCTCCCCAAGCAACAACCCAGTCCCCAGCTTGTTTCCCCCCAGGGCACGAAGGCGTTTCTCCCCCCCCCCCTTCAACATCCCGCATCCTGCAGGCACCGATATTTTCCACCGCCGCCCGATGCTTGCCCGCAGGACCCGCATGCACGAAAGTTAAAACTTCCCGTGGCAGGGAGCGATTGTGCTCCATCAGTCCAAATTGCCGGGCGGGCAGGGAAAGAAGGGGGGGGGGGGGGGGGAGGGCGAAAACCTCCTGCCGGGTGCTGTTTCCAGGGGTAAAAAGCAGAGCAGCCCACCGCTGCCCACCCCCAGGGATGGGGAGACCCCCGGTGCCCGATGCAAGGCGCATCCCAGAGAAGTCGCGTCCCCCCCCCCCGTCCCCGTCCCCGTCCCTCCCTGCCAAGGGAGAAGGAAGGGCAGCCGGGGGGGGGGGGGTCCCTTACCTTGTGGAGCTCCCCAGGTTTTATATCCTCCTTCTTCCCTTTGTCAAATTCCAAATGGAAAGCAGCAACATATCCAGGGGTAACCAGACCAACATTGGGCAGCGCGTGAAGTCCAAAAGGCAGAGCTCGCTCTCCCTCCGCTCCCTCCACTCTTGCCTCTACGTATATCTATACATACACACTTAGACGTAGCTGTGTGTATACCGAAGAGAGACGGGGGGGGACAAAAAAATACCCTAAAAGAAATGGGGGTGGGGAGGGAAAGGAAGGAAGAACCTTTGGTGTCTCTGCAGACAGGCAGGTGGAAGAGAAAAGCTGAAAATAATTAAGCCGTTTTTTGAGGAATCCTTAGGAGAGGGGAAAAACGCAGTTGAAAGCCAGTAAATCATTAGATCCAAGCAGACAATCAAGTCTTCTTCTTCTTCCTCCCCCCCTCCAAAAAAAAAAAATATACAGCAGGGTTCAGAGTAGCTTTCCCAGCAGCGGAGAGAGAGAATGGTCTTCTGCAGAAAGATATGTTTGTTTAAAATCCACTCGTCTGCTTTTCTTGCTTTCTCTCTCTTCTCCCCCCACTTTTTTTTTTTTTTCTTCTTCTTTTTTTTAAAATTCTGCTTCTGAATCTCTCTCTGTGAAACTAGATCCAGTCTTTGTAGCCAGGGGCTGCATTAAGGATTACATCAGGCTTTTATAAGCTTTCCAGATCACACATTAGAGTGAGAGAGAGAGAGAGAGAGAGAGAGGGAGGGAGGGAGGGATGGGAGGGAGGGATAAAATGCACACACACATCCACACGCACACGCACGGATCGGAGCTTTGTAAAACAGGCAGCTATAGGCAAGGACCCGAACTGCCACCGTATCGCATCGGGCACACTCTGCTAGCCTATAGGAGGAGAGGAAGGATGGAAGGAAGGATGGATGGATGGATGGATGGTTGCATGGATGGATGGATGGATGGATGGATGGATGGATGGATGGATGGATGGATGGAGCAGAGGAGCCAGCGAGAGCCGGAGCGCGTTGGCAGCCGGGCAGCGCAGCCTCCCCGGGACAGCTTAGCCCTAAGCGGGGAGCCAGGAGGTGAAGAGGGAGCCGGGGTGGTTGTGGGGGGGGCTGGGGAAAAGGGGGCAATAGGGGCTCTGCCCCCCTCTCCCCTCCTTCCCCAAATCCTACAGGGGTTCTGCATGGGAGAGGTGCCCGCAGAGGGATGCGCAGGGACCCAGCTCGCTGCCACCTAGGTGATGGGGACGTGAAGGGGGGGGCTGCTGGGGGGTCCCTCACCCCCCAGGCACTGCTGACAGCCTGGGACAGGGGACAGGATGGCGGGGAACCCCCGGGGCATCGGATCCCCCCTTCCCCACCACCAGATCCCCTTTTCTTCCCCCCCCAGCCCTGCAGGAGGACAGGGGTTGGAGCTCCCCATGCAGCCCTGCCTGGTCGTGGATTTGCACCGCTGTTTGCCCAGGCAAGGCACAGAGACTGCAATTAACCCTTTCTTATGTTATTATCATTATTTTTTAATTATTATTATTTTTTTAAACTGCTTTCCTAGCCTCTTTCCCCCCACACCAGCTCCATCATCGCACAGCCTGTGCAGGGAGTAGGGGGGGGTCTCGCCCCAGTGCAACACCCCAGGGTGGGTTTGGGCTGGGGTGTGGGGGGGGAAGAGAGAGGTTGAGCAGATGGAGGAAAGGGGGACGTGGGATTTTGGGAGAGGTCCCTGCTGCATCCCGGAGGCTTTGGGGTGAAGGTGCTGCCTCCGGGTGTGCAGCCAGGGGGAGGTCCCCAGTAATGAAGAGCTTAATGAAGGGGGGGGGGAAGAGGAGGAGGAGGAGGGGGAGGAAAGGATGGAGGGGAGAGAGAGCAGGGGGAGGGCAGGGGGACTCCAGCATCCTGCCAGACTACAGGACATGCCCCTTGCCTTTAACCCTTCCTGCTCCACAAGGAGGAAAGCAGCCCCTTGCCTTGCTGATGCCACCTCCCTCTGTAAGTGGAGGGGCACAGACCTGCCTCATGGGGCAGAGGGAATGATCCTGGCCCCATCTCCTTCTCTTTCTGCTCCAAGGAAGGCGATGAGGACCCCGGTCCCCTCTTCAGGGCCACCCCAGGGGCATCTCTCTCCTCCTCCCTCCTGCCTCCATCCCCAGCCCATGGCCTTCTGCCCCTTTCCTCCCTTCCCTTCACCACATCCAGCCCTTTCACTTCCATTTCCACATCTCCAAACCCCTTTTATCCCCCCAAAAAACTTCAGGAGACAGGAGAAAAAAGAGGAAATCATTCATCTCAGGGAGCTGAGCAGCAAACCCTGGCGAGCCAGCCTTTCCCCGTCCCCAGCCAGCACTGCAGCACTGCTGGCCAAAGGCATCTGTGACATCTCCAGTTAAGCAGGGACTGGAGCAGAGGGGCAGCTGGGGCCTGAAATGCTTGTTTTCAGCCGACAGGCGGCTATGCTGGATTAACACGGTGCATGCACAGAATGGAAATCTCTCCCTTTCGCTCTCCAGCCTTTCGGGAGTTTGGTTGGTTTCATCCAGGAAGGCTCCTGTGAACCTCCAGAGGTTTCTCCTACGGGGTGCACACCCCGGAGGTTTCTCCTCCTCTTCTTCTTCCCCAGTGGCACAACGGGGAGCAGAACACTTCTATGGGAAAAGTGCAGGGGGGGTGGCAAAACGATCCCATGCACAGCATTTGTGAGCCCCATGGGGCATCTTGGCCATGCCTTTGGGTGGTGGGGCACATGGGGGCACTCACCTTCTGAGCTGCTCAGATCTCTCCTGTGTTGTAGGGCAAAGAAGCTCAGCACAAGGAAAAAAAATACTAGAAAGTGTCACAGACAAAATTAAACAGGAGCAGGAACATGACCCAGGATTTAAAAATGTAGAAAATAAAGGGCTGATGGCCTGTTTCTCATCGTGTACCCCCTAGGGAGAACTGGGGGTAAGCTGCAGCAGTGAGTAGTGCACGTGAGGAGCTGGGGCTTGTGACTGCCTGCAATATCCAAATATTATCCCTCATTTGGTCTCTTTGGTTTTGGATACTTTTGAAGTGATGAAGAGGAAATAGTTGTATAAAAATGTGCTGGGATCTGTGAAACTCACTGCTGCAGGACACTCCTGAGGGCATGGAAATCCACCAGCAGTTGCTCTCAGCTCATCAGGTGTCACCAAACCTGAGCCTGTGAGCCCTTTCCTCCATCCCATCATCATACCTCAGATGTAATCCTTGGGGAGAATGGTCTCTTCCATAGCAGTCTTCCTCCAAGCAAACATTTTGGAGAGGTCTGAGAATTACTTTAATGTTCCTTTACACTGAGAACATTAGGGTCAAATTTACACCTGGGTCAAATTCACTTTTTGTAGGGTCTAATTCACACTTGGTGTAAAAAAAAATAAAACAGTCTGGAACGAAAGGTATTGGCCCTACACAGCCCCTGGATGCACAGAGATATCTCTGTGCTGCAAAGCTATGGGTTTCAGCTTGCCATCAGCAACACCACAATCATTGAGACCTGGGCAAAGAAGGGAGAGGGAAGGCAAGGAGAATCTCTTGGAAAAACCCTCTTTCATTGGGGAATTTCTTCCCAAGGAGTGTGCCAGCAGGTGTATCTTCTAGACCTGTTTTTGCTCCCAGTTGGAGAGCAGGCTTGGGCAAACAACCATGCCATGGAAGGGAATGAAGAAGTTGCATTAGCAGGGTTTTTTCCCCTCACCAGTCCCCATAGCTCCCAAAGTTGTCCCTAAATGGAACCACTGAGCTCACAACACTGGGATGCACTGAGATTTAAAGACAATTTTGTATTAGTGACTGTCCCCTCTGCTTCCCATGTATGTATGGACCTTGCTAGGACCATGTGAGGAAAGAGAAGCAGCCAAGACCAACCAGAGTTATCTTCGTTGTATTTAGGGAAGGCTGTGATTGATAGGTTTGATGTGTTGTGACGTGAGCGTGAACAACATTCCTAAGCATTCCCTGCCAGTAGCAAGCACAGATGGTAACTAGGATGAAAAAAAATATTTAAAATAAATAAATAAATACATTATAGAGTTGCAAAGTGAGGCAGGTCAGCAGTTCTGGCTTCCCAAGTTACAATATGGGGAAGTCCTAGCTGCAGTCCTCTCCTCTACCCAATTTGTTTTGCACGCCAGGGCCAGAGGACAACTTCGTGGAGCCCAAAAGCATGGATGTGTCCATGGGTGTGGAGCTCAGCTTAGTGTCTGCACTGCTGGTGAGGAACGCAAGCTGCCACTGGGGTCCCAAAACCCTTGACCTCCCAGGGGAGAGGAGATGTCCTTCTGAAAACACTTGTGAAGCTGAGGCAGGTGGCAGGAAGCAGTGATGGGGGGGTCCCATCCCCGAACCTGGATGCTCCCAGCTTCCTTTTTCTCCCCCAGAGCTTTGCAATGATCCTGATCTTTTCTCATCCCCGTTTCTGTGTTTCCCCTCCCAAGGGAAGACGTGGGGAGGAGAGGGTGGTAGAGTCCTCCTGCTGCCTTCCCACTCTAGCACCAACCACCACGATTTGTCCCAGCTCCTCCCTCCTTTCCTTCCTTTTGCTGTTGAGATATCTCAGGTTTTCTGTTCCCAGATGTCTACGGAAATCCCACAGGGGTCTTCTGAAGACTCCTGTGGCAAGGTCAAAAGCTGGTGGACATCCATAAGTCAGAGACTGAGAACTTGAGAACTGCAGGTCTGCGAATAAAAGCAGGAAAGAGAAAAAAAAAAAAAAAAAAGAGAGAGAGAGAGAGGAAAAAAAAAAAAAAAAGAAGAAGAAGAAAGAAAAAGAGATAGAGATTATTCTAAGGAGTGGGAAGCTGCTAAAACATTGAAGATGTTTGTCCTAGAGGGAGCTGCATTATCTCTGCCTGCATTACGGTGGGGCACGGAGTGACGCTATTGGCAGGGAAGTCAAACCAGAGCATCCCAAATGGTCACATAAAGGGAATCTCTCTAACAAGTTCCCATCTCTTCCTTATCCTTGTTTGGAAATCGGATTCACGAGAGGAAAAGCGCTGAACGCCCTCTAAAAATAACAATGGCAATAATAATTACGCAGCCTTTTCCCACAATAGCTATTGGAGAGGGCTAGCCAGGTTTTTAAAACAGTGGTTAACACAATAGGTTCATCGGGTGCTGGAAAAAAACAGCTTCGTGTGCAGAGCTCGCCTTGCGAATGTGTTTCCTAAATAGAGCCATAGATGGCAGTACGTAGTATTTACGGAGTTGTTTCCCCGAGTAAATCTCCTTATTTTAGCAGAAAGCAAGAGAATTTCATTTTCTTGTAGTTACAACGCACTCTGAATGAGAACTCCTAAATCAAATGGAAAAGGGGAAATACACAGCAAGAAGAGCCTTCTTGCCTGGATACCAGCAAGCAGAGCTTGAAATGTAAAATCCCTCTGTTATACGTGATTGGGTGTCCCCTTTCACAGGGATGATACCTGAAGAGGTGAAGAGGAAATGAATTACCCACACTGGGAAAAGTTTTGGAAGTCTAACTGTCACAAAAATTCGAAACAAACTCAAAATCCCCAGATCGCTTTCACAAACTGATGGTTATGAAAGGCATACAAAGTGCATGGCAACTCATCTTGCTACTTTCTCTCTCTTTTATATATATATTTTTAATTATTTTTGCTTTACACTCAAGAGTATAGATTTCAAAAATCAAAATAGTTTTAAGGTAATAATATTTATTTCTTACAAAAATACTAACACACTTTTTTTTTTCTCCTGCTCATAGTAAAAACAAAAAAAAAAAACAAACAAAAAACAACAAAAAAACAACAAAAAAAAAAAAAAAAAAAAAAAAAAAAAACACTTCTTTTCCAAAAAAAAATGGTCTAATTTCAATAAACTGTCATTTCTAGCCCAAAGAGAGAGCCAACAACCCAATTGGAGAGATATGCAGCTTGTTGTAAGTTTCTTTTCCTGCTGGGTATTTGGTGTATGGAAGCTACAGAGCAAAGGAACCTTATCCATTGAAGCCACTTGTAAGGATGCTTGTAAACTTCCTGGCCATAGTGTGTAAGCTCCAGTTTTGCATCAGATCTGCATCTGACATGCATGAGGATTTGCATCCAACAGAGTCGCAGCAAACTCCTCTCCTCTGTCCTTACAGCAGAGTCAATGACTCTTGCACCCAAAGTTAAATAAAATCTTTGACAAGGACAAAAATATGTGGGAATACTCACTGCTTCCGCGTTCAAATTTCCCCATAGCAATGAACCCCATAGCTGGTGGAATGACATCTTCACCAGCCATTTGTAAGCAACCCCAACTAGCCAGTAGGTCACCTCCTTGACCCCCATGTTCCCAGCATCCAGGGGCTACATCTCAGCTTACGTACAAGGATCAGTTTTTCATTGATGTCAGAAGAGATAAGCAACCAAAAATTTCCAAAACAATGTATTTCCAGCCTAATTTTTCAGATTCAAATAATTCAAATCAGCTCCAAAGTCTGATTCTTGCCAGGTGAAGTGCTTTGAGGCTTCCACAGAAAGCAGTGGAGCTGACGTGTGTTCAGCACCTTTCAGGACCTGTTTCTTTGGTGCTTCCCTGAATGAAAACCTGTGATTTTCACATAGATTTATTTGACAGAAATATATCTTCTGCATGCTGAAATATGAGGTTGATCCCCAAAAAGTATAGTGAATTTACTGTGGAAGTCCTTCAAGGTAAGGTTGGGTTATTCCTGAATAAGGAAAGAAAAATAACAACCATAAGACTAAATAAAGGACTCACCCAAACTCAGGCCCATAACCTTTGTGTTTGTTCGTGTTTTCTCAGATCCAATTATAATGTATGCTGGAAAGCATCTGCTTTATGATAATGGAGAAGCCATTTACCAGACAGCTTATCCTTGTATCCTGAAATCGATCACCGAGGTCGGTTGGAACAAGCCACTTTGAGCCACATTGAGCCACCGGGTACCAGCATACAATTCACCCCCTGATGCCACATGTGTTCATAAATACTCTGTAGAGGCTTGCAGAAAAAAAGTTCAAAGCTTCTCCAAGTGCAACACTACTTCTAAATGTAATGACTTGCGATTTCTTTTACTTTTTGATGGCTAAGTGCTATTTGAGAATTTACCCACACCATTCATTGATTTTTTCTGGGGCTTTCATCTCAGAGACCAGATGAAGGCACTTGTCAGTACCCCGTTTTATGAACAGTGCCAAGTTAGCCAAATTCAGTTTCAAAACAGCCCTCTAGAGCACGGCAATTCCTTCATCCCAGAGTACTGAGGGAGAAGAGCAGTGCACAGCAAATAAACATTTTGTCCCAGCTCGTAGGGAAGTTTGCATCACAGGAGGCAACGGAGTCCATACTTTCACAGGCTCAGTTTCACTGTAAAAATTTGTGAGAATTATTGTACTGAATGAATGTTTTACCCTCCTCTTCCCCAGAATCTTACCATGACACTGCATTAGTCTTTCCTTTGCAGTATTCCCATCCCAAAGTTTTAAGATGATTCCCTTTGAACAGAATTCAGCTACTGTCGTGTTCTTGGCTCTCACCTAGAGAAGAGTGACTTTTCTCCCTTCTTGCAGCTGTTTCCTTTAATCTGAAAATAAGTCACTAGAAACAGAAAGAATGTGTTTCTCTCCCTCTGAGGTTTGAATATAACATCGTGACTTGAGCATAAAGCCTGTTTCAATTACGGAGAACTTTCTTCTGTCCTGTTAAACTTAAACCTCCCTGCAATCCGTATGTACTCAGGGACAGAACAAGAGAACAAAATTAAATGCTTAAATAAGCTTAAGGGACAAAATCGAGTCATATTAAGCTCAAAATATACAAGCAATTCAGTTGTGTGTTTTTCCTTATTCTTTTCTCTGCCTGTTTTTTTTGTTCGTTTGTTTGTTAGTTTGTTTTTTGTATGTCTCAAGTTTTCAGTCCCACTGTACTTCCAGAAATGAATGCAAATTCTGCAGTTTAAGTGAAACTTATCCTATTTATTTTCTTTACGTGTTTTAATGGAAAGAAAGACCACCAGCACCGAAGTACCTTCACCCTCTCCCCAGCAATTCCCTCCCCACCTAAGGGGAAACCATAGATAATAGAAACCATCTCCTCTGGTTATAGAGCTGTTTTGTACCTAGATGCAAAGCTTGGAGACCACTGGAAAATTTGGAAGACAATCTGAAGGGAACATAATAACCCCTAACGTGTCATTTATGCAGGGAAAAGCTGCTTATCTGCTTTGGGCCTAAGGAGATTAAGGGAGCAAGAACAACCATGGTCCAGGAGCGTGGGGATGGAGCAGATGACCCTGGGGCCATTTCCAGTCCCAGCTGTAGCCCCAGTCCTACCTCACCTTGGTCAGACTGGGCAATGCAATTAAAAAAGCCAACTTGCAGACTGTATCCGTACTTTCCTTCTTCATAAGTGATATCCATGTTCCACATTTCCTTCGAAGAAGATTTTGCTATTTAGAGGCTCATTTAATATATAATGAACTGTGTTTGCTAGTTTGTTTATATTTTATTCTTTCTAATAGGATTGTTTTCTTACATCAAAGCCCACATTTACAGATAGATTTTCCTAATTTCCTTCCCTGTCTTCCCATTCTTCACCACACAAAGGTCACAGAGGACTACAGAGAGTGCCTGAAGATGGGGAGTGGATCAACAACTGATGGGAATCAGCAGGGATCCACTGGCATCAATAGAACAAGCTGAAGCCCACGCTGAGGTACCCGATGGTGCTGGAAACATGAGAAAGCAAAGCAGAGTTCATTTTAATTTACTTGGAGTAGGGAGCAAGAAATATGACCCATATCAAGGGGCATACAAATGTTTTACAACCTTTTGGCAGACACAAATTTAATTTTCTGAACCAGAAGTGTGCAGGCACATGGGCACACTCTTGTCAGGAGGTTTTGTCCCAGGCATGAAGGTTTTCCTTCGACTCCTCTACACTTTATCGCTGACTCCAAGGCAATTCTGCCACAGAAGGCCTGGGAGCTTGGAAAATGGTTGGTAAAATAAGAGTAAAGATCCCCAGGGATGTTATAAAGCACAAAATCAGCAAATCTCTAGGAGTGTAGGATTGACTTGAAATATTGGAAGAGACTGGGAACATCCTACTCAATACAGCTGATTATTCAAACCCTAAATCTGGTTTCCTTTTGTTTAGACAGCTGATGTATTTCAATCTATATGGAAAACTCAGTCACCATGTTTGTCCTCTTGTTACTGAAATATTTGGTCTCAGGGTACAATTGTCACTCTTCTGCAGGCATGGCAAACTGTGGAAGCTAGTCAAGAGAGTAAAACACTGGCATTGTAAATGGCTGGGGGCAGAGACCTTTCTATTTTCCTTGCCTTACTTAAAGATCTTCTGAAGGAGGGCATAGGCATGACATAAAATCAGATATTAATTCCTGATTTTAATAGCACATAACTTGTCTCCTGAATTTGCTGCTGTCCCCAAGGAGAGCTCAGAATCTTTGTAATTTTGACCATGTCCTGCATGTCCTGTTGGTCGCTGATGGAGAAGCTGATGAAACCAGAAAAGCTGAGACCTTTGTCTTCAGAGCAGATATATTTTTATCCAATCCTTTTGCAGTGTGAATTTGATCATCTATGCTGCCCAGCTAGAAAAAAAATAAAAAATAAATATATATATATATATATTAATAAAAGAAAATCTGCAAACACCTTCCATGGTCTTGCAGTAGCAATATTCTCACTTGTGCACACAAGCAAGACCTTTGAGCAAATTTGCTCATATTGGCATATGAACCTTACACAACTGAGAGGTGATGGGTTTAGTCTCAGACTTGCTCACCTTCCCCCTATTCCAGAGTGGATGGCTCTCCCTTGACACAGATTTAGACAAACCCACGAAGAGGAGATTGACCAGTGCTTATTAAAAAGTGATCTGCTTGTGACTTTCAGCATGGAAAGCATGAAGGCTTCTGGTTACAGAAAGCTGGGATCTCACGCAGCCCTTCTTATGCAGGAGGGAAAATAGTTGGCTCTAGCATTTACTTACAAACGGCTGTCTTTTAAAAAGGAGGGTTGATCAATGAACCAGATGACGGCTCAAATCAACTTGAGCTCAAAAGACATTTTAAGCAAGCATACCACTATGTCACAAACCACTTTTTTTTTTTTTTTTTTTTAAGTAGTGATCTGCAGTGTCTCTCTTTGTCAGCATAGTTGATATTTGCAAAGGGGAATGTTTCCTACAAGTAGTCAGATATTTTCAAGCTAAATGCAACTGTGAAGCACATGAAGAGCATTGGGCTCCCAATGGAAATATCTCCAGCACAGAAAAGCTAAAAGAAAATACCAAACTAGTTAGACACTAGGAGTATCAGGGAGAGACAAACTATGACAAGCTGGTTCAGGCAGACAGTGGTAGGGCCACAGGTGGCTCACTCTTGCAAGCTGCGAACACCAGCCCAAGGAATCACGGGAAAGCCTCCACAATAGTGTGACGCTGCAGCAAAAAGCTTACCAACAAGCTGGGAGATGAATAATTAGCTATTTCAAAAGGGACTAAGTCTCTGGTGCAGTCTGTTTTCCGGTCCTAGGCATCTCTAGCTGCTTGTTCAAAGAAAGAAACACAAAAATAGAAAGCGAATCAAAGCTACATCAGACTAAGCCAGTTATATCTCCTGCCCACAGGGAAGGAGGAAAAAGAGATTGTTACTTCTCTTAAACTCCCTTGTTATTCTCACTGGGGGGTGAGCATGCATAGATGCTGTGATGGATTCTGTCTTTTAGTTAAGTAAAGATGCTGTTGTTTGTCAGGCACTGTAGCACAGACAAATGAAGTTGCAGAAGGTGCTGCCATACCCCTGCAGGCGCTGTTCCAGAAGAAGCATGTTCAGCATACCAAACTACTCAGCTTCAGATCAAAACTCAGGCTCCAGCACCAACCCAATCTGATCCAGTTGCAGCATTGATTTCAAGAAGTCAGTTCCAAACATTCTTCTTCACAAAAATCAGAATAAAACGGTTTTGTCCAAGAGACATAGCTTCATGTATTTTGAGGATATTTGTGTTATGTAACAGAAATTAAAGTCCCGACATCCTTCTCAGCTGACTTTATTGGTGATGTATTGGCATAGCTAAAAGTTCTTCTGGCTGAATGCAGAGGTTTCTCTCAGTCCAGAAGGTTGTTAGTCAATGGCTGTGATGCAGCAGAAGCCCAAGAAATGGTTCATCACATCTCTGCAAGACTTAGACTCATTGCCTACCTCCTGTCTGCATGCTAATGGATGAAACCCTTTCAACATAAGGATCATCTCCATCTCATCTATAGGAACCATGATCTGGCTGTTGCAATGCAGTAAAAGAAGCAAAAGACTGAGCTTGGAAATCATCTGCAATGCTCATATACAGGGGAACGTGATTCCTCGGCTGAGACAAGCTCAGCAGCAGCTGCTCCTTGCTTGGCTGACAGAGCAGTTTCTCCTTGGCTTCCTTGGAAAAGAACCTTTTCATGGTCTTTGCTCTAGACTTGGGGACATAAATGACATCAGAGGCCAATGAAGGGCACTGCTGGACACTCCATAGTCAACCTAGGTCGCAGAGCGGTTTCATATTTTTAAGGGGGAACAGTGTGCAAAATTCAACCAAAGTGGAGATTCTAAAAGAGGCTGTCTCAGAAAGACATTGGGTTGGGGCTTCATTCACTCATACCCAGTGTGGAAAACACAGTGATCATCACTAATCCTAAACTGCTCAAATCTGTCATTACTATTATCATGACTATTGCTCTGTTGTTAATTCTATTATGTATGTTACTTATTCTCAATTATAGTAAAATGTTATCTGGAGATCTAGAGCAATTTCTGGACACCCCTAGGCACAGACAGTGACAAGCTGTTTGCTAAACAGAGATCTGGGAATAACTGGTTTTTCATTTTGCTGCCAATTCTGCAATGTAAGCAAATAAATAAGTTGGAGACAGACCTGAAATAACCAAAAAAAAGTCGGCTAACTGAAAATGGAAAGCAAACAAACAGACTAACAAGCCCAGCATATCTGAGTTTAAAAGAATGTTGTCTTCCACCCACAATAAACTTCTTCATGTTGTTTTCAAGATTTGTAACATGTTTTCTCAGCGCTGTAGAAAAAAAAAATAATAAATGGAACATCATTCCATTTTTTTAAAAGCATCTTGTTTAGAAACAAATCAAAGTGAAATGTTTTGATTTGCTTGTTTGAGTGTTTTCTCTTTCTGTAGATTAAAAAACAAACAAACAAAGAACAACAATAAAAAAAACAACCTCCTTGTCAAAAAAATCACATCAGTTTGGATTTTACTTTTTCCAACAAAATTCTTTCAGCTGCAAATTTTTGACTGCCTTATAGCAAGAATCAAAATAATGAACTTTGGGTCTGGGTAGCTGAAAATACAGACCTCCACTTCAGAAAAGCTGTCCCCTTATCCTAGGTACACCTTTAAGTCACCAGCAGATCAAGATGGCATTCAATAATGAAACCACTTGCTCTGAAACTGCCTAAAATCACAGTGAAAAGTAACTTCTAGTAGGTTGCAAAATACACCCAGTCAGAAATTTGGTATTAACTTCTACACTTTAATGAATTTTGCATATTTCTGTAATTGTCAGACACATTGTAACTTTAGGGGTATGCATTATTATAATGTGAATCCATGAATCCAAAAGTATTCATTAATAATGCAGGTTAATAATTAAGTATTAAAGAATCTCTAATAGATGAGACATTGTCTGAAGTAGAAAATTAATCTTGTCAGAACTCTACTTTTAAACTTTCCTTGAAAGTATATTGATACATCCTTCTCATAAACATCTGTTCAGTGACAGGCACTGGAGGATAGAAGACTTTCATGTCAACAACCAAGCAGTAACACGTGTCGGGGAAAGAAGGCTTTGATTTTTCTTATGGAAAGAGAGGTGCAGAACCAAAGTTTTGAGCAAACCACCAGCCATGGGATTCTTAATGAGCTCGTTATCAGAAGATCTAAATATCTCATGAGAATTACTCACCAGGTGTCACTCTGTGGTCAATTGAAAGAGGTTGACCTCTTCTGGAGGGTGACTGTCACAGACTAACTCTGTTAGTATGCATTGAGTCACCGTCATGAAGAACTGATTTTCTCTGTTGCTCTCCGCATCACTTAGACCAAGCCCCTGCCTGTAGCCAGTGTCACATCAGGCATAGGTCTTGTCCTTACATACTGTTTCTTGTTTCTGCACCATTCTGCTTTGGGTGCGTTTCTTCCTTTAAAAGTTGAGGAGACACTTGAAAAAGCAGCAACTCCATCAGTGGATCTGCTGCCAGCCAGTTTTTGTCATTTGATGAAAACAAGTGTATACTCCTCTTACATGTGCAAAATATTCCCATTTGCTACTGAGACAAGGCCAGACAAGAAGTGTTTCCTTATCTTTCTGGTGGTCATGCTGAATTCACCCTAAAGTTTACAGAGTGAGACAGCAGAGATGGTCATGGGAAGTGGTTGAGTCACCTTCCCTGGAGCTGTAGTGTTGACCAGTTGAAGGTTGCACCAGGGTAGACAAGATAAAGGCTACCCATGGGGACAACCTGTGAGACAAGACCAAGGAGAGGAGAGATAATAAGGTACCACCAAGGGTAGATGGCCTTGGAATACTGGCAGAGCTTGTCAAGGAGGTGAGAAAAGAAGAGAAATATGACTGGGATTTACATCCCACAAAATGTTGCCTGTAAAACACCAGCCTGATCCTGCGTCCCCATCTTGGGTGTTATCTCCCTCCCTCATTTACTGCTTGCTGTGCCTTCTTACCGAATAACCCACAAATGTGGGTTCCCACTTTGAGCATCCCAATACCCCTTTCCAGCTTCAGCTGCATCCTGGAAGGCAGGAGAGATGGAGTTGGCCAACCAAAGATGACTGGGACTGAAGACACCTTCTCAGGTCTTCCTCTGTTTTGACTGTAGAAACCAGAATTTCCATCTCATATCAAATCATTTCAGTGTTTTAGGCGCTGTATAAATATTTGATTTTAAATTAAAAGCACCATCTCTAAAGATCAGTCTTCTGTCAAGATGCAACAGAGTTCCTGCTCAAATTGTGAGGGAAGCAGACTACAAACCCCTTCTCCTCACTACTGCATTGCTCAGAAACCCCTTTAATGACTCTTGTGGTCTCAAGGATCTTCAGTAGTCCAAGAAAACAGGGACAAAAAAAAAAAAAAGAACGATGGGACTGCCCAATGCACATAATTCTATCACTGTTGCTGCCCAAGGACCAATACGAGAGGTTGTATTGGTCAGAGGTTTTCCTATTTCTGTCTGCAGCTATCAGCTGTGCCTGTGGCCCACTGCAACACCAGCTGGTGTCAGTAGAAAAAAATAAAATTAAGAAATTATCCTCAGTTCCCAAAATTTTACTGCCAGGAGTTCAAACTTCTCCAGACAATAAATATGCACAAAATTCCACTGGCGTTAGCAAGTGACAGTCTCAGGGAAGAGGATCAACCTCTCCCAAACACTAATTGAAAGCAGCCAGGTTACTGCTGCTATCACAGAAGCTCTGTTATTGATTTTCTAATGGGAACGCTTGTCTCCTGAACAAAGCTCTTGTAGAGATAATAAGGCTGCTTAAAAAAAAATAAAATACAAAAATAAAAAATAATAATTGCCTCTCTGAGCCCTCATTTTATTTCACATTCAAAATCCAATTGCAGATCTTTCTGATAGCTAATAATTTAACGGTCATTTATGTACAGTTTAGGGTCCATTGTTAGCAACTTTGGAGCGAATAAGCCAATTAGATTAGCTGGATCTTGCATTCATGTAAAACAAATATATATCAAAGCAATTAAATGTGCAGTTTAATCGTTCCCAACCTATGAAGGAGACAGTTGCCTGAAGGTCCCAGCTCTTTTTGTGCCTCCCACTTCCAGTTGCTGACATCAGTGTAGCTAGAGCCGTTTACTTTGGGATTTTGGAAGCACTTATTTAGTGTGGCAAGATATGTGAGTGAAATTATTGACCTCAGTATTTCCCAAATGGGGATGCTGCAGCCCTGAGGGTAGAGAGGTCCCTGCAAGACAGTAGCAAGACAGGGAACAATTTTAATTTGCAGCTAAGCAAAAACAAATCCCTCATTGCTCACCTGCACTTCTGCCCCACAAGGTCCCCCGTTCCCTCCCAGCCTTCTCCCACACAGATGATTTACGTCTGCTCAGCACTGCTGAGGGCTGACTTTTTTACACCCTGGCAAGCAGAACATGCAGATAGATGGATTTTGAATCAGCAGTTGCTACTCTGAGAAATGAGGGGGTGAACTAGTCCACCCCGTAGCAGAGACCCTGAAGGCTCCTGTAGGGTTTGTCAACTGTTTCTTGCAGACACATGGGTGATGTGGATGGATTTGGGGTCTGGGCACCCAGGGCTGCTCATTGCCACAGTTCTCCTCCTGAGCAAAGCCATGGCCACCTCTCTGTCTTCCTGCTGGGCCAGGGGGCAGCTCACATTCCTTGGCACTGGTTATTTATGAAGCTTTCTCTACTATGCATCCACCCTCAGTTTAATACTTCCCCTGCTGTGCCCTGGCTGTCCATTTCCTTTCTCATTACGAGGCCAGAGGAAATGATCTGGGTCAGCATTATAACATGCCTTTATGCCAGGGCAGGCCATTACCCTCACCGCCTGCTGATGGCTGTCTCCTGGTTGAACGTACACCAACTCTGAGGGTTCCCTACTCAAATGCTTTCATCACATTTTAGGTTCTTCGGTTGAACAAAACCCCAGCTCACTTTGATAACTCTTACTCCCTCTCTCAGCCACACCTGGACTGATCCCAAAGCCTCCCAGGATTTACTGGTGTTGCAGCAGTTGCTTTGGAAAAGAGAAATCAAAAAGGTTTCACAAACTACAGAAGCCTTTCCCGTTTCCCACTTCCATCTCTTTATCCATCCCACCACAGCTGTCTCCTATCTCACTGCTGGAGAAAGAAACTTCTAAAGCTTGTTTAGAAATCCTTTCAGAAAATAAATAAATAAACAAACAAACAAATAAATAAATATTAAGGGAAAAAAAAAAAAAGGAAAAAAAAAAAAAGGAGAGAATATTTCAAGCTTCTTTAAGGAAAACATCACTGAAAAATTGCCTTTCCATGTGTGGGAGAAGTCACAGTTTATATCAAAGGAATAACAAACTGTTCAACCAATAGCACCCACTTTTTATAGCAAGAACCACTCGTGCCTTCACTTGTATCATGCAGTATCTATGACTTGTTGCTCTTGATGAAAGCAGCTCACCTACCAGATAAAGAATGATCTTTGGAGAGCTTCAGTGGTCAGAATATACATCAGTGGCCTTGCAAGTGGGATCTCAAGTTCTGGTTATGGTTTTGCGATGGATCATGTAGCATACAGTTCACCTCACCTGTGGTTTCTCAACTAAGTGTCTTATCACAGCTGGATGCTAGTGGCCAGAGGGAGGCTGGATCTTCCAGAGGGTGATTTGTTCTTGGACAGGTACCTTGTCATGAGGTAAGTCTTCATGCTCAGGTGGCTAAATGGAAGGAAAAACAGCCTGTATTCAGCCACGGAGCTGAAAGTGGCTCTCAGAAGGAAGATCTTCATCCCTGGATATTTAAATGAGGCCATGTAAAGAACAACGACAGGCAAACAAGAGACTCTAGAGAAATAAAATACCAAAATACCACACTTTTTTTTTTTTTTTTATGACTGTACAAACCAAGTGAAATCTGCTGGGGCATGGTTCACTCTTGGTCTTCTTCCATTCAGCCATAGAAAGTGTTTGTTTCTCCCTGTGTGTATTGCATGTGCATTTACAGCTGCAAATAATAGAGCCAGATTCCCCTTAGACACATTTCTGTTCTTCAGCTCTAATTCTTCCCCCAGTTGAAGCTAAGCCTTGCAATGTTTTTTGTTTGTTTGCTTTGGTTTTGGTTTTGGTTTTACCAATGGTATCTGCCCAGCTTTGTTCAAGACATTAAACCCAGAGGTACCAAATCAAACCACTTTTTGCGGCAAAAGCCAGGCAACCAGCAGCTTCTTGCAAGTTTGCAAATCAAGTCCAGGTGACTGATTTTGGAACAGCATTATGTCAACCAATGTCCTATTTGTACAAGGTTTTTAAGGAGCTGTCAACTTTCTTCCTTCTCTTTCACACTGTCTTTCCAACATTGTCATTTCAGCTGAGCCTGGAAGCATGAAAATGCCAGCTAGCAGCATTAGCAGTTGTATTACTGCAAGTGCAAAGCTAGCAGTGCTCTCACTGCTGCACTAACTGTAAGGAGTAGAGTATAGTTATGACACTGACAGCAAATTTCAGCTTGGGAAAAATATTAAATAAATGAAAACAAAGACATACTTTGAGTCAGTAATTATTCTTTGGTCTTATTTGTGCACTTGTGCAGATGATCCTAAATAGCAGAAACACTTAAAATGCCTTTTTATTCTCGAGGCAGCATCTTTATTGCCAACCCCCCTGTATGTACCTGTTAACCAACTACAGTACCTTTTCACAGAAGTTATTTGGGTGCTGGTCTTCCAGCACAAAGGGGCATTTCAACCTCAACTTGTCTGTAAATCCATGATTCTGTGG